GTGAATGTGAAGAGCAAGAAAACCTTCTGGCGGCAGTTTATCCGCCTTGTAAATGGGTTCTCTCAATCCCTCATTCACACACCTACTGGTTTGGCCGACATATTTTTCCCTCATGTGAACAGAATAAGATAAATGACGAACGAAATGCACTCCACAAGTTTGTCTGTATGCCTTTTTGTGCAAAACACTCTTTCCACGCATGACGGATTCGTCAGCACACGCAACTTCCCAAGTTTATCACGTACTGAAAATAGCACGCTAATATTGTCCCGAAGTGCCACTTCCTTATGGTTATGTGACAGCTGGTTAACATATGGAATTATGGCCGTGCGTCTTGACTTTGCCGGTGAATCGACATAAGCACTAGATTGGCTTGACCTTGCACGAATCATTTTCAACTCTTTTTCCGCAACTGAAACTAAAACAGGATCCAGATAGCCCAATCCTTGCAAACGTGTAATCTCAATATGGAAGCTCTGCTTCATAAGGTGCGCACATTACTTGTTCAAAACGTTTTTGAGGCAAGTCGTCACGATGGCTCTTTTGGTTAGTTTGGAATGACCGGATTGAAACGGGAGTAAAGCTTTGTGAGCATGCGGATCATAGCACCAGCATAACTGGTTGTCAGAACACTGAACACTTAAATCTAAAAACCTTATTGGTCCATCGCTAGGTCAGTCTACTGTCACTTCAAGGGGCTTAACACCATCACGAAACACATTCAACACACTAGTACCCTCACTTTGGACACTTTCCCCTGAGCTGTCAATGAAAATAATAAAATCATCTACATATCGGAACACTTTCTTAGCCGTCGTCTCTGCGAGACGATATCCCACAATTCTTTCAAGTTCTGCCAGAAACAGATTGCTCAAGACAGGCGCGATGCAAGAGCCGATACATATACCCTGCTTTTGCAAAAGAATTTCATTGTTCCATTTAAGGAACGTTTAAGTAAGATAAAATTCTAACAGGGTAAAAAAATTATCAGCGGATATACCTGACTCAGAAGAAAACTTAACAGCACCAAATTCATCATTGCTACTTCCGACACATTTCAGCATTTGTGGATGGGGGAGGGAATAGTACAGGTCTGTTACGTCAATTGAGAAGGCTTTTAGCCTTTCATTTTCATGAGCTTCCATGAACCTTAAAATACTATCGGAACTCTTGACTAAAAACGGATCTCGGACTTCGAGATGATTGAGTTTGTCTAACAAAAAAGCAGCGAATTCTTTCTGTCAAGTACCTATTTCCGAGAGTAATACTCGAAAAGGAGTGTTAACTTTGCGAGTTTTTGCATTAAAAATACATCGAGGCGATTCTTCTTAATTTTTTGAATACTTTTTAGAGTTCCAACTACGTTCATGTTTTTGCACAATTTTATAGCCTTTGCTTTTACTTTGTTCAACGATACGCCATCTTTTACATGGAACACCCTAGAAATGGCATCATTAGCTTTTTCCAAGAAGCATGAACGCGAAAAAACTGCGAAGCCACCTTGCTTATCTTCCTGCAAAACACACAGCGAATTATTGTCAAGGTACGACAAAACATGCTTAACAGGAATGTGAGAACACACAGGTTTACAACACGAAATGGCGTCTGCTTCTTCAGAAGTAATTCTTTCTTCGTCACCTTCAGTCGCACGACGTGGCACCTGACGAACGACAGTCAGGAGTTCAGGATTTGTCCTCTCTCTTTGAAGCCCGAACTTCGGCCTTAACTCTAGGACTTGAATGACTTCATCAGGAAGCTGGAGGTCTTCAGGAACATGAACCTTTCCCTTGGCCATCCGTCGAACACTGGTGACTCGCTCACGAAGATAGTGCAGCTGAGGCATCCAAAGAACTTCGGTAGCTTGCCCAGCCAATCGCAGGCACCTTTCCAGCAGAGATCCAGCGACAGATGAATCAAAGGAAGTATGAAGATATGCACGAAGACGAATCCCGTACAAGCGAACGTGACGATACAATTCAGCGCGTAAAATCTTGAGAATCCTCCTTGTATGGCCATAGGAAGGCGAAAAGCCCCCGCAAAGCGCGAGGACTTTATCCGGAATAATTGATTGATATGTGGGGTTTAACGTCCCAAAACCACTATATGATTTTGAGAGACGCCGTAGTGGAGGGCTCCGGAAATTTAGACCACCTGGGGTTCTTTAACGTGCACCCAAATCTGAGCACACGGGCCTACAACATTCCCGCCTCCATCGGAAATGCAGCCAGCCGCAGCCGGGATTCGAACCCGCGCCCTGCGGGTCAGCAGCATTCATCCGGAATAATACCTTTGCGGATGCAGAAACTGAGCGTACGTGCCCTGCACGTCGTGTTGATGATGAAGCCTACAATACAGCTTGGGTCTTGAGGAACAAGTAAAAAGTGGCCCGTTGTACGAGAAATGTAGTCGACAAGAGTGGCGATGTGGGCTTGTCAGTGCAACATTTGAAAGAAATTTATGTAGCGCAAGGTGAAAAAACGAACACAGGAAAGAATAGACTGAGAGGACAGAGCACTACTAGCAACAACAGCACAATATTAGGGTGCTATTTTCAGTACGTGATAAACTTGGGAAGTTGTGTGTGCTGACGAATGCGACACGTGGGGAAAGGGTATTGTGCACAAAAAGGCATACACACAAATTTGTGGAGTGCATTTCGTTCGTCATTTATCTTATTCTGTTTACATGTGGGAAAAAATATGTCGGCCAAACCAGTAGGTGTGTGAATGAGCGATTGAGAGAACACAATTACAAGGCGGATAAACTGCCGCCAGAAGGTTTTCTCGCACTTCACATTCACGCGTGTGGGTGCTGGCCTTTGTTCCAGAGTACAATCATTGTTGTTCGGCATAAGGATGAGATGACTCGGTTGATCATAGAAGCCGAACTTATTGATGCTCTTGGATATGTATGTATTAGCAAGCCTTCAAAGGCCTTGTCACCCAAAGAACTGGCGTTTCTGCGTACGCAGTGATACGTGATTTTATCTGTGTGACTTTTGTTGTCCTATTTATCGTTTTTTATTGTAGGTAGATGACATTGTCGTGCATTCATCTGAATACACCTGCTTATCTGCTTGCTCGCCTGACGATTATGGCTTAAAAACGGCTTGGAGGTCGAAAATAAACATGTTGTTGCTAGTAGCGCTCTGTCCGCTCAGTCTATTCTTTCCTGTGTTCGTTTTTTCGCCTCGCGCTACATAAATTTCTTCCCAGCATAGAACGCTTTCATGTTAAAGTTAAAACAACCTGTAGCACCATCGCTTCGCTGCAAATGTCTGAATATCGCACAGAGACAGTTGAAAAGTTATCATTGTCCTAATTTTATCGCAGAAGTTTCTGTTGCTGCGCCTGTTGGTACATACTTGAAGAAAGGGAGAAACCAACTTAAAGACACATTCACAAGGGGAGAAGACCCAAGATGCAAGTGCCAGCTTGTGTGTGTCGTCTTTTACACTTATAAACGTGTCTTTAAGCAGGTTTCTCCGTTTTCCTAATTTTACTACGGGTGTAATCGGGCTGTTCATCTGTTTGCCTTACAAATTGATTAAAACTGAAATGTGTACTGGTTCGAGTAGCAGCACTTGCGACAGACAAGGACCTCACTAGCTAGTTTTCAGTATCGGACCATTGTATACATGTGTCACACAGGCACTTTCGAAAGGCCGTTGAGTCGACGGCAGTCAAAATGCCGCAGCTACATCGACTTGATACAATTGTCACACCAGTACGCGGAACTTTTTACCGGTTGTTGGGCAGTTCAGGTGTACCACGCAAAAGTTGTCTGGTGCTGCTCATCTTTATAACAGTTTACATTTTATCTTAAATAAAATAATATCAAAACACTTTAAAAGCTCCCATGCGTATGGTATTTTTGTTTGAAATTTTAATAGACTATTTTATTCGTAATTCTTAAAGCATGTTTGGTTTTTACGTTCTTGAGTAGCGAAACACTGGCCTCTGGTATCACAAGCTGTGAACGTAGGCACGTTTGCGCTGTCTTCACGGCCGTCGCTTAATACTAGCAAAATTTCAATGAAGGTGTATAGTGCTGTGTTGACACGACAGACTATTGACACAATGGCCTTCCAAATCGCCCACGTGGTTACTTGTGCTTCACAGATGAATCGGTAGACTATCGGTTCAATAGCCTCAAAAAAAAACAGCGAATGCCCTTTTGATAGCATCTGGTGGCCTTGTTTTCGTCAGGCTATATTTGCGAATTCTAGAGATGCTGTATTTCTTAATAAACTGTTTGTTAAGTTTCTATGTTGTAGTATAACCACCATGTTTTATTACAAGGTATCGCGCGGCAGTGTTGTCCCTACAGGAACATGCATTCCATTTGTCGGGCTGTTTCTTTTTAGCAGAAGTTTTGTTTAGGGAGATTAACCCAATTCCTTTGGCAAATATGTCTTTATGATGTTGATAGCTTTCTTATAAGCCATGGTATTTCTTTGGCACATATCCGCATGTTGATTTCAGCACTGCCTTAATTTGTACTCTAGCGCTGGTAAGTAGTGCGATTTGTGCTCTAGCTGTGGTGCCAACCTGTTTATGATGCCTACTACCATTGCCACGGATTTGGGGCAAGAAAGACTCAACAAAAAAAAGCTTCATAGGTCGAATGACAATGATGGTGGCAATCAAAACCAACGTGGTACAATTCAGGTGGTCAAATTTTCCATATGATGGTGTTTGCTTTTCTTGTGTCTTTTTTTATTGCTGTCAGACTGCCTGAATCTGTAAAAGATCGGCAGTGTTGAATAAAAAAAAAGAAAACGAAAAAAAACTATTTTAGGAAAATTTTCATGCCTGAGTGCCTTGGTTGCACAATAGAAGTGGCTCCTACTATCTACTTGGACGAGGACGAAAAGGCAGATGACACAGAGCTATTTTAGGCCAATCGTCTCTAAATCATGTTAGCAGTCAACGTTTATTAACTTTAGAACAAGCTTTTCGCAGCTGGGCGTTCTAGTGGCTACGTTGCTCTCTTCGCAGGAGCTGTGAGTCTTCGTTACCATGGTGCTACCATCCCCAGCCCCACGGCCTGCTTCAGCTATGACTCCTGCCCTGCGGCAGTTTCCAAGCTAGGCCTCAAGATGTCCCGGGCCTTCCTAGACGGCGGAAACAGCCACTTCATTGTAACATGCCTGCCCGGTGCGCCCACATAGCGACCAGTACACCGCTGCATCCTTCCTTTCCCAGAGGCTGCTCTCCACAATTTGCGTGCCCTGATTAACTACGTCACTCTAACAGTTCCTCAAAGTAGTTGACATCAGTGTTCAACATTCTTTAGAAATAATGGTCGGCTACTAAGAGGATAGTCGGGAAGAAGATGGTTGAACGCGTTCGTTCATATTCATCACGAAATTTTAGGGCAAGTGCTCAGGGCAAGGAAGCAAGTGCACAGAGTAGGGAACAAACCACTCTGAACTACATTGGGTTCTTGCTTTTTTCTGCGTTGAAATTTCGTGCTGAGTATTAATGTCAAACTGCGTTCTACCCACTTCCCTTCCCGTCCTATAGCATGCCGTGGGCAAACTTCCAGCTTGATATCAACGTCACCCAAAATCAAAACAACTGTTATTAGCCAACATAAGTCGAAGGAATTTCACCGATCATTTGTTCTGCTTTTCTTGCCGTTAAGAAACGAGATCTTCGGCTTAACCACGACACCCTATCCTTAGGAGCGTGTTTTAAAATTAACACTGAATCCACAATGGGCAAAAGAAGTCTGTGCTGTCTGCCTTCTACCATTGCGCGATGAACGTTTTGGTTCTCATTTTCAAACTGGCATGTACGTATTTTTGCCTTCGAGAGGCTTGTACAAGTGGTTTGTTGTCATCGCTCTCTTCTTGTACAATACCAGCTTAGAATTATACGACATATACGTGTTTGTGTTATCTCCAGCCTCATTCATTAGCACTAAAAGTTTGGGTGTTCATATTCACATTTGAGTGTCTTTAAGAAATATTTTCACTGAACGTGTGCAGATCACCATTAGCCGACAACTATTGAACCACTGTCGGTTTTTTCTGGCTACCTTGCTTTGCCACCTTACTTCAGCTGGCCCACTGTATGACGGTTCGGTACATCGACACGTGGGCCTGCCTCATGGGTCACTTTTGATGCGGCATTATTGAGAAGCGGCTCATCTATTCCTATCTGCTTGCTCAGTAAAAGTGGTGAATGCGTTAGCGTTGAAGATCATGAGCTTTCTTTTTAAGACTGCATTAACAACGACATTAAAGTTTCTGAGTTCTCTTCTTGCTGCTCTGATTGTGTTTACATACAGGCATCTTGATCGCAGAGACTGGCAAGCAAAAATATTTTATGGCGTCACTCCAAGCAGGAACACATGGCAGTAGCGTGTTGGTTAAGTAAGATGCTCTATCAACATTATCTCTAAGAAATGTGACACGCAATAAAAAAATAAAACAGCGCTGAACACACTGGAGCAAAAAAAGAGGCACACACAGCGAAAAAAATTACCATGAAAATGTACCAACTTTCCCAATCTGCCTGTCTACTTCAAATTTGGCGCAGTAGTACGTGTGAGAAGTATTCAGGTACTACGCAATGCGTGTGCACTTGCCATCAAGGAAACGACTATGACCAGTATTGTTGTCTACAGACCTCAGTCATAACTAAAGAGCGCAACAAGTACAAATGACTCCTTTTGTTGTGATAACTAGTTATGTCTGAAATCAACTGGCATCAGCTAGAACAACTCATGTGTCTAAAAATTGCCTCGCACCTCATAAAGTTTCTAAATAAATCTTTGAGTGGAAGGCCACGAAGTTCTTGCACTTTTCAGACACTCAGTGCAGTTGATAAACTAAGGCAACGAGAGGAAAGGTTACGTTATGTCAAAACAATTACTTTGATACACAGCATTCGTATTCCTGGCATGAAACACGCTTCACCATACCGACAAAACCACATTTCGCGCATCTTGTCAGAAACCATGGTTCACAAAAACCCTGAAAAAGCTATGTAATAAGAACAAACAATTATTTTGGGCTGCCAAGATAAAACCTATAGCTCAAAACTGAGATAAATACTACGCGGCCAAAAAAGCGTATTTCCTCGCCATACGCAGCGCAAAACACTCGTTTTTTCACACAGATTTACCCAAGATTCTAACCAATATTCCCAGGAAATTTTGAAAAATCATTAACCCCCAGGAATCCCATACGGTTACATTGAAAAATGAAGCTGGCGATGATATGAGTACCACTGACGTCGTTGAACTTTTCATCTGCCTTTTCATCTGTTTTTACCAACGAAACCCACATACCGTTTCCGGCGTTTTCGAAATGTATCCAGTCTTTTATGTCGCCTATCACATTTATTCCATCGGGTGTTTTGTCTGTTATCGAAAAATTGAAACTGTCTTCCACAGTAGGTGTGGACGAAATCAATACTAAAATTCTTAAAAACACGAAATCTATTTCTTCAGTGATTTTGTCATTATTATTCTCACAGTCACTTTGCACAGGCATCTTACCAGACGACTGGAAGGTGGGGAAGGTCACTCCAGTCTTAAAATCAGGTAAGAAAGACAGCCCTTTAAATTATCGCCCAATCTCTCTAACAAGCGTACCCTGTAAAATCGTGGAACACGTCATCTACACCCAAATCATTCACTTTCTTGATGCCAATAACTTCTTTCATCCTGCCCAGCACGGGTTCCGTAAGGGTTACTCTTGCGAAACCCAATTAGCCCTTTTTGTCCAAGATCTGCACACAAGTCTAGATACTAACCTGCCGACTGACGTAATATTTCTGGATTTCTCGAAAGCGTTCGACAAGGTACCTCATAAGCGACTGCTAATGAAACTTAGATCTTTAAATATACATCCCAATGTTTTAGCTTGGATTGAGGAATTTCTAACTAACCGCTCCCAGTTTGTTTCAATTGATGACGTGCCCACTAACCCCCTTCCAGTAACATCAGGTGTCCCCCAAGGCTCCGTTCTTGGTCCCCTACTCTTCTTAATTTATAATAATGATTTAGCTTCGCATGTCTCCTCCAGCATCCGTTTGTTTGCTGACGACTGTGTAATCTATCACTCAATCACTAACCCGACAGATCAAACCGCTATTCAAGATGACCTTAACCACGAGCAGGACTGGTGTGAAAGCTGGCTTATGAAACTTAACCCTAACAAATGTAAAACAGTCTCTTTCCACCGCCGTAGCAACCCCTCTTTGTTCCCTTACTCAATCGCTAACGTCGCCCTCAAACACGTGCAATCATATAAGTATCTCGGTGTCACCCTGTACAATGATCTTAACTGGCGCCTGCATGTCTCCAACATTATATCATTTGCAAACAAATCCCTAGGTTTTCTGAAACGTCACCTTCGGCACGCCCCGCAGGACGTCCAGTTACAGGCCTACAAATCCCTTATTCGCTCTGAATTGGAATATTCCTCTGCAATCTCGAACCCACACCAAGCATATCTGATCAACTCACTTGAGGCAGTTCAAAATCGTGCTACTAGGTTCATTCATTCTTCGTATTCGTATAATATTAGTGTATCATCCCTCAAAAAAGAATCTTCTCTTTTAAACCTTGACGTTCGCCGTCGCATTTCCAGCCTCTGCCTGTTTGAGAAAATTTTTCACAGCCCATTCCGTCATCCCTACATTGTTCCACCAGCCCGCATATCTCACCACACTAGACATCCACTTCAAGTTGCCCGTCCACGCATTAGATCGGCCACTTTTTCTATGTCCTTTTTTGTACGGACTGCAAACGACTGGAATGATCTTCCCCACGGCGTCGTGGCCATTTCCTGTCCATCAACGTCTTTCGACCAATTGTCTGCACGTCTTTCGCAATAAAAAGCCGTGTCAATAAAAAAAATAACAGAACTTTATTTGTTAACCCACCCCTTAGGTAATACCCCCTCGGGGGTCTTTAAGGTAATAAAATGAAGTGAAGTGGAGTTACCATGTAATGAAAACATGCATACACACTTTGACACTGCTTGACTTACTGGACCAAATCGTTGTTCTCAATGCCAATAGTGATTTTTTGTATTAAACTATACGAAGCCGAAGATTCAGCAGATCTTGAACGAAGGAGAAACTTTACAGCACAGGTCTTAGGCGCCCATTCTTGCGTTGAGTGGCGTCGCTGTCTGCGTAACCAATAAAGTGAACAAAGACGTAAGAGAGCCAACGCAGACTCTGTCGATATCGACTAACCTCTAGCTTCGTTTTCTTCCTCCACCTTTCACGCTGGTCTTTTAGTCGAAGCATGTGCGCATGCAGGATGGCAGGTAAAAGCAGCTGGCTCGCTTGTCGCAGTGGGTATTTTGGTGTTTAGCTTGGTTCCCGACTCCTACATTGCACAAAATAGATTGGGTAGATCTTGAGTGCTTGTAGTTTTTGTCGTAATCTGTAAATAGTGTTACATTGCTACAACTCCGAATAGCCAAGATTTGAAACACAGTTGATGTGGCCACAACATCCATTTAATTAGAGCGCAGCTATCACTTGCACATATCTGCGTTGAGCGGCCATCAGCGTCGTTTTAACCGCCAGAGTGAATGACGATGAAAGAGGGTGAGCACAAAATTCTTTGGAGGACTAAAGAAATGACAGCAAGGAGAGAGCAATAGAATGGGTAGTTACGCGAGTTGGCAATTGTCTGAAAATAAATCTAGAGCGCAAAACGATGGGACACAAAAGAACGCACCATTCTCTCTTCTTGTCTCTTGTGTCTCCTATTTTTGAATTCTGATAATATCTTCAGAACAATGTGAACATGACGCAATAATGGCGGTGAGCACAGTGAGGTTCAGACGATGGGTACGGAAGCAGCCACCGGCAGCGGCCACCCGTAGCGCCACAGTGGTGCACGCCAACGTGCGTCAGCTGTTGTGAAAAACGCCTACGCGCTGCCTTCTGCAGTCACGCTATACACTCCGTTTGCAGGGGTTGATTGGAAAAAGGTTAAAAAAGCTTGACCACTCCAATTACGCTATTCACGGCGTTTTTTTAAATGTAGATTATATACCAAGTCGTAAAATAGTCTCAGCCCGTTCTTTATGAACTCTTTGTGACGCTGTGCAGAACATCGTTGGCGGAAACTGAAAGACGTCGAAAGAAGAGACTCGGAAAAGCGCACACTCGCAACTGACTTTTATTGAACCGAAGCTCGTCTTATAAACCCTCACGCATGCGTACAACCACAAGAAGAGACCAATCAACTATAATCACACTCTATCAGATAGAAAAACTGTAGCAAGGCTAACCCCCGTATTCACAAACGCTCCTCGACTCGACCCTTCACTCTAAACGCTCCTTGAGTGGCGTTTTCCCATTCTCAAACCGCCCTTCACTTGAGACGCTTCCTTCACTCGAGCAAATCTCGAGCGTTTCCTCGAGATTGTCAAAGAAGCGATCGAGCTACCTTGAATCATCCCTCGAATGAAGTTTCTGCGCCAACATCGCGTCCATGGCGGAGCCCGTCTCGCTTTGATGGCGCTTATCTATCAATTTGGCTGCCACCGCCCCGTTATTTCAACAGCGACGGTGCACGTTCACTATGGAGCTGTCTTGTAACGGTTGGAAAACGGCTGCTGTGGCGCTGGGACAGGCGGACGTGGTGTCAAGCGGAGCGCTCACCAGTGCCGTGATGCGTTTTGTTTCATGCAAGAGCCAGTGGATCACCTGCCTTCGGGCGTGCGTATACTCGTCGTGCGAGTTCTCGAAGACTTACTGCGGACGATAGTTATAGCGCGAAAACAAAACGACGACACAGAGACAAGAAGGACTCGAAAGACACGAGCACTAACTTCCAACTGAGTTTATTGCGCAGAGCATGAAAATATACAGAGGAGACAGTACCGATGTGATAAAAACCATATGGCACAAAGAGCAGAACATGCGTAACAGAAAAACAAAGACAAAAAACAAAAGAAGAGAAAAACGGCAAAGAAAATTATACAAGAAAACGAAACAGAAAAGGAAACAGAAAAGGCAAGTAGTTATATTATGTGTACTTCTCTGTTTCGTTTTCTGTTTCAATTTCTTGTAAATGTTTCTTTGTCGTTTTCCTGTGCTTTTGTTTTTTGTCTTTGTTTTTCTCTTACTCATGTTCTGCTCTTTGTGCCATATGGTTTTTATCACATGGTTACTGTCTCCTCTATATATTTTCGTGCTCTGCGCAATAAACTCAGTTGGAAGTTAGCGCTCGTGTCTTTTGTGTCCTGCTTGTCTCTGTGTCGTCGTTTTGTTTTCGGGCTA